CGGGAAAACCCCATAAGCCTGGCCTCCTTGCTACCCCCACCTTGACTTCAGATACACGCTGAGCAACGGCTAAGAGATTGAACCTGTGGCACCCCACGTGTGAGCGCCTTGGGGCCGGGCTCCCCAGAAGGAACTGCCAGTGCCACAAAGCTTTTGCAGAGTTGGAAACAATCATGATTTTACCCCAAGTCTAGAGATATTTGCTGTTTTAATTAAAGCCCCAGCTTCCAGAGCCACATTTGCAGTTAAGTAAAAAGTATATTTCAATCCCTCAGGGTTGTGGAGAAAAGCTCAAAGGCAGATCCTCCCTCTCCCCAATGTATTATTTTTTTTAAATCTTATGATTTTCAAGGCCCTGACTCATGATTTTTGAACACATGGGATTGACGATGCTGCAGAGAGGTCAGGCTATAAAAGAGATTGGATTTCCTGGTGCACATCAACATCACTCCATTGACATCAATGCTGCTATACAGGGATGCTTAATTTTGTTTATCAACATTTTTCATTAAAAATGCAGCTTCATCACTTACTAAGCTGGGCCCAAGCAAACAATATGCCTTTTAATGCAGCCAAATGTAAAGTCATGCATCGAGGAACAAAGAATGCAGGCCACATTTACAGACTAGGGGACTCTACCCTGGGAAGCAGTGACCCTGAAAAAGACTTGAGAGTCGTGGTGGGTAATTGCTGAACGTGAGTTCCCAGAACAATGCTGTGGCCCAAAGGGCTGGTGCAATCATTGGCTGCATAGATGGGGGAATCTCAAGTAAGATTAGAGAAGTTATATTATTGGCATAGAAGTGAGTGTGTCCGGTTTTGGTGTCCACAATTCAAGAAGGATGTTGATAAAACAGAAAGGGTTCAAAGAAGAGCCACGAGAATGATTAAAAGATTGGAAAACCTGCCTTATAGTGAGAGACTGAAAGAGCTGAATCTCTTTATCTGAAAAGAAGGTGACTTGGTCACAGTCTATGAGTACCTACATAGGGAACAAAACTTTGAAGATAGGCTATTCATTCTGGTCAACAAAGGTATAACAAGATCCAGTGACTGGAAGTTGAAGCTGAAAATAAGGAGCACAATTTTAAGAGTGAGGGTATCTAGCCACTGGAACAATTTACCAAGGGTTGTGGTGGATTCTCCCTCACTGGCAATTTTTAAGTGAAGACTGGATATTTTTCTAGAAGATGTGCTCTGGTTCAAACAGGAATTAATTCAGGGAAGTTCTGTGGCCTGGGTGATCCAGAGGTCAGTGTAGATGATCCCAGTGGTCCATTCTGGGCTTGGAATCTGGGAGATGTAAATATGGATCAGGTCAGAGCAGAGCCAGGATTTGAGAGGAGGAAGAATGTTTGAAAAGACAGAGTGAGCTTGGAGCCGAGAGGCTGTCACTGTCCAGAGAGTCAGCTGTCTCCCGGTCTAGGATTTTATAATTTTATAACAGGTTCCACGGCATGAGTGAAATGTGCTGGCGTCAGTACTGCTGCAGAGCAAGGAGAGAAACTCCTAGGAAAAAGGTCTGAGATGGGACTTGGGAACCGATCCCCTCGCTTCCCTTTTCTGGACGTGATTCCAGCGCTGACTGGAGCCAGCATGAGGCATTGCATTGACTTCAAAGGGCTTCAGGTCAGGCAATATCTGCTTCAGTTTCCCCATCTGCAAAATGGGTATAATGAGACCTGGCCACCCTACAGGGTGATGCGAGGCTCAGTTAGCAGAGGGAGTGCAGCGGGAGGGCTTGTTCTGTGCACATGATGCTACTTGGATTCCTCCTGGTGCTCCGTGCAGCACCATGGTCCCTGGTGCTCCCGTCCCAGCCCAGCTCACCTCAGCTTCCCATCCCACAAGCAGAAGAACAGGTCCATCCTGAGGTACCACACTGAGACCGGCTTCCTGTCCTCAGAAGGGGGGGACCTCCTCAGACTCTACCAGGTGATGGCACTGGGCTGGGGGCCTTGGAGGGGCGTGTACAGGAGGATCCGGGTGGCTCTGCTGACCCCAGTGTAGATGGAGGAGCTGGGGTGGGAAAATTCTCAACAGGCTAAAAGCGCTCCATGCTCGGGGGGACGATAATGGGACAAGGAGCCTTCCCCTAGACACAGCCTGTTGGAATCTGACTGTGACCTTGGTGTGAGATGAGTTGGCCGGTCTCAGGCAACTGCTGGTGTTCATGTCCCAAACCAGCCACACCTCTTGTCTCTGACCTGCTGACAGACTCAGCAGAGAGGCTGAATGGGCCACGGAGACTGACCCCACCAAACACCCTGGAGATGGGGGCCATTGGACAGAGGTGATTTGGTGCTAGACCAGGCCCTCTACTCACCCTTGAGCCCGGCTTTGGGGTTCAGGCGTCCTACCAGGGGTATTTCCTCAGTGCCAGGGTGGTGGGCAATGGTGCTGGACACATGCTGATTCTCACCTATTATCATTTACTGCCCGCATTGTGCTTAGCCCTAGGAGACACACACACACACACAGACAAGGGCCCCATGGTGCTAGGTGCTGTACGGACCCAGAACAGAACAACAGTCCCTGTCCCAAAGAGGCTGAGATAAATCCACCCCAAATGGTACCTTGACATGCCAGATTTCCCTGACCACTGCTGCGGTCACTGCTGTGCCCTGGGGCTGGCCTGTGTGGGCAGCGGCACTGACTGAACTAATCACCCAGCGAGCATGTGTCAGTGAAGCTGCCTCGTCTGTGCTGGAGCTGCCCTGCCACAGGGACAGAAACTAACGCTGGATTCTCGCTGTGTTTGTGTCTCCCAGAAATACCAAGTGAAATACGGCGCCGGCGTCTGCAAGACTGACAATGGCCCCGCCGTGCCCGTCATCTACGACTATGGCGATGCCCAGCAAACCGCCAACTATTACTCTCCAAACGGCCAAAGTAAGTCTGCAGTGAGCGTGCGGGTTCTGCCTCTCCAGCCGCACAGATCAGCCCTGGGGGAATTCTGTGCCAAAACATTAAAAATTCTGCACACAATATTTTAAAATTCTTCAAATGTTACTGGCAACGCCAGTTTCAATTATTTTGGTAATTTATTTCAAAATACCTGTCAGCAAGTCTGTCTGTAACAATACAGAAACACAAATATTTTCCCCCAGGAGTAGAGAGTTAAAGAAACCCCTATGACAACCCAGATCCTGCTTCTCTACCTCCTCTCCCTCAGCGCCCGACCGGGGGGAAAGACAGTCACACCCCCTTCCTCCCAGAGCACAGCCGCAGCCGCCCCCCAGCCAATATACCCAAACCCTCTTCCCCCCAGAGCCCAGCCATGGCCTCCCTTTGCCCAGATACCCACACCCCCTTCCCCGCAGAGCCCAGATGCAGGCCTCCCCCCAGCCCAGGCACCCATTCCCTCCTCCTCAGAGCCCAGGGATTCAAAGGGAGACACAGCCTAATGCTGGGGCTCGGGCAGGGCTTGCACTGAGTTTGCTGTGCGCTGCCTCCTTCCCTTCGCTGCTGGGAACCCTCTAGCTCTGTCCCCCTGCCCCCGGCAGTGTCTTCAATGTGCCAGCTGGGCTAGGCTGGGTCCAGCAGCCCCTACTGGTGGCCAGCAGCACTGCAGCCCATTTCTGTGCGGGGGGAAGGAAATTCTGCACAAAAAACATTAAATTCTGCATTGCGCAGTGCCACAGAATTCCCCCAGGAGTATTTCCCAGAGTCCCTTCCCCCCCATGTCCCCATCCACAACATGCTATAAAAACTCCAGGGGGGGGGTGAAAATATTTACCAGAGCTCTGCTCTGGACAGCTCCCTCTGAATTTAAGCCCTGGGCCTGTTCCAGTCTGAATTATCTTCCTTTTAGAGCTGTGATACTTGGACCTCAGAGGTTCAGGAGTCAAATTAGCGATCAACATTACCCACAAGAGCCACAGGGGTGTGAATTCATTGTTTCATTTACTATAGTACTAGTCGTATTTAAACAGTATGACAGGCAAACTATTTATATATTATTTTCACAATTAATAAGTTAATAACTTAGTGCCAATTGATAACTTCACTGGTTAATCACATAGTAAAAGCATCCTGATTGGTTAATAACTTAGATTGGTTAATAATTAAATCAAACAGTGTTTCAATATCATGTGCTGCAAAGAGCCGCAGGAGACACATTGAAGAGTCACTTGCAGCTGGCAAGCTGCAGTCTGCGTATCACTGATTTAGAGAAAGGGAAAACGATGAACTAAGAGAGAGCAAATGGAAAATCCCCAGGAGAGAGCACAGTGTGTGTTCCCCACTTTAACATTCTACATGGCAACTGCACACAAAACAGCTCTTAGGAATTTGAAGATGCCGTGACAATGACAGATCTGTGAACAGCCCAGCTGAGCCTCACAGTTCCTGATCATTTATAGGACTGGAGTTCCTGATCCTTAGTCCCCAGTCATTCCCGGTTCAACGGGACCAGCAGGTATCAGAGCTCTGTCCCTTCTTTCCACCTGTCCATGGCAAACAATGGTCCTGACCTGCCCTTTTCTGTCACCAGCTGAATTTGTTCCTGGCTACATCCAGTTCCGCGTGTTTAATACTGAGAAGGCGGCCATGGCTCTGTGTGCTGGGGTGAAAGTCACTGGCTGTAACACCGAGCATGTGAGTATCTGTTCAGAGTGGGGGTTAACTGTGGAGCAAAGGCCAGCTGATCAGCCTTGGGGCTGCCTAGTGTCACTCTTAGAGCTGGTTGGATGCACAAGAACTGCTTTTAGCTCGGCACTGGCGCAGGGTAGGTTCAGTTTGTGCCCCTGTGCCAGCAGGGATAGCTGTATACATGGAGGCCCAGGAAGGCCAAGGGGGTGGATGTTAAATCTCTCCTTTGGGGAGACTTGCTGGGAGGAAACAGCTCACAGGAGCTCTGTTGTCAGAAGCTGCCGTGGGCACTTAGCACCACTGGGAAGTCTTCCGAGGTGTAATTTCTGCCACCAGGGGTCCTGCAGCCAAAGCATCTGCCACGGGGAGCAGAGAGTGAATCAAACCTACTCACAGTCTGTTCCTGACCCAGAGAGGTCCATGGGACTCTGAGTTGTAGCTGGGGCCCTACCAAATTCATGGCCATGAAAAATGCGTCATGGACTGTGAAATCTGATTTCCCCCCATGAAATCTGGTCTTTTGTGTGCTTTTACCCTATACTATGCAGAGTTCCTGGGGGAGACCAGCATGTCTCAAATTGGGGGTCCAGACCGAAAAAGGGAGTTGCAGGGGATCACAAGGTTATTTCAGAGGGTTCCCAGTATTGCCACCCTTAAGTCTGTGCTGACGTCGGAGCTGGGAAGCTAGAAGGCAGTGGCTGTTGGCTGGGGGCCCAGCTCTGAAGGCAGTGCCCCACCTGCAGGGGCAAAGAAGTAAGCGTGGCAATGCCATAACATACCATGCCACCCTTACTTCTGCGCTGCTGCTGGCGGCGGCTGTGCCTTCAGAGCTGGGCTCCCGGCCAGCAGCTGCTGCTCTCCAGCTGCCAGGCTCTGAAGGCAGCGCCGCCGCCAGCAGCAGCACAGAAGTAAGGGCAGAAGTTCCACAACCCCCCCTACAATAACCTTGTGATCCCCCCCCCCAA